CATCATGCGAAGTAGTAGCAGTAAACGAGCAGCAAAAACTGAAGATGTATAGTAATATAAAAATCAGAAAGTGGTAGATGAGTTTGTAAAAGTATCAGCAATCAGTGAAGCTGAGAAAAAGTTCATGCCAATGATTATACATGGAGATTATAGGGTTTGCATAAATTAATAAGTTTAGAGTAACTTTAAAATTAATCTCCAGGGTATATATTAGCTGTAAATAAGTTATTTCCTACATACAGAAACCGTAGAGAAATTATTCTTTGTGCATGAAACATATACTATTTGAAGTTTTTTTTTTTTTTTTTTTTTTAATGGCGGTTGGGCTTTATTAAGTAAGCTTTTAGCCATGCCATTTCAATGGCCGGAAGTGGTAGCCATTTCATTATGGAAGCACCTAATAGTGGTCACCGTTGCTTCCTACGAAGGGATGGGCAGTTAGAACCATAACTTCTCCAGGATTCTAACCCGGGCCCATCGCTACGGCAGTCAGGGTCGCTAAAAGCTATACCGGCTGGGCGGCATACTATTTGAAGTTTAGGTTGACTACTGCCAAAACTAATGCGTTACTGAATTGCATATGTTTACTAGATTTATTAATATACTACATGATGCAACTTTGAAACCCGTTAGGAAGTTCTATTAGGAAGCCAGTGAAACGAAAAATGTTTTTTTTTCACTACCTTAACAGTTACTCAAAATTGAGCTATTTAGTGTCTTCCATTAACATCACGCAGAAACCATCGCAAGGAGAAAATACCGTAATATAAAACAATGCGGAAGATTGGTTTATTTATTACGGCAAAGCACCTAATGGCTACCTGCCTGAAAAGAGGGATGAGTTTGTGGAGGACGTTTTAAGGGAAACTGACTCGTATACACGTTACACACGAAAATGCCCATGTAGCCAGCCCGTTCGTCGGGATTCAAACCTGAGACCAAGCTATCCGTGATTAGCGACTTTACCTCTCGGCCGCTGGTCGGCCATATTGGGGAAGGGGAGAAAACAAAGCAAGAAGAAAATATTTCACTTCTAATCTACCGTAATATAAAACACAGTCGTAGAAAATAAACGGGTGCAAAAACTTCGCAGTTTTAAATTAAGCACCTACAAATCATCACAGACATATATTTTCAGACATTAATGTTCCTACTTTCAGATTAAGTTAGATTTAAGAGATTATGGTTAAACTAATTTTTAAAAGGGATTAATTAAATAATGACCTTTAATAATTAACTACATAATTTTAAAATTCAATTAACTATTAAACGTAGCATTAACTTTTTATTCATTTTCAGGTTTAAAGTGCTTAAGTTTCCTTCTTGTATTTTCAATAAAAAATTTTAGTTAAATAGAAATTGGAAACATAAAAGTAAAAATATTCCTCATTCCTTCTTCCTTTCACAAATCATCATGCAAACATGCATTAAACATTTTTTGAGTTGGAAAACACATGTCTGCAATGTTATCATCATGCGATGATTTTAAGTGCTTTACCTTTTACCAAGATATTATTTTATGCCAATGTTTTACAGGACTGCTATTGATCTGGAAACCGAAGTTAAGTCCTGCAGACCATACTAGAAAAATTAACGAGTTTTAGCTACGTCTTAAACATTCTCAAATGCAGAAAAAGGTTTCAAAACCATCTTTGCATTTAGTCTGAACTTTGAACATAAAAGGCACGATTTGTCCTACAGAAAAACCACCACCCGTGGCGATGTAAATTAAGCGATTAAGCTATATAGCAGTCAGTTAAACTCAAACATAGATAACGTAGCCCTAAGACTACACATTGAACAAAAATAAGCTATAAGCTGGCTCAATATTTACCGGCTCGCAAATCGGCTAACAAAACAAAACAAAAAATTAAAAGCCGAAATAATCACTTTTAGACAGAGCTAGCGTATAATTTTAACAGCCTAATGCGAGTGCTACAAGTATTCTCTTTCTCTAAAGAGGTTATCACACATGGCTACAGTCCCTGCTAGATGGGACTTTTCTGAGAAACGAGATTCTGGTAGCACTGGTTTAAACGGAAGGATTCCTAGAAAAAAGAGCTCCGCCTGAAGCGAAGTCCTGCCTAGCTACGGAAACAATGTTGCGGCAATGTTGAGGCTACAGAAAGAAAAACCTACCTGTTACTACTATAATTAATTTATTTCGCAAATGCAGACATAACATGAACGTAACTCTTCATATGTCTATGGACATGCCCAGATGTCCGATGTGGAGGCCTTTTGTAACATGGCAGACATCAGAACAATAGTTTAGTTCCTAAGCTATTGCCAAATAGGTATAGAGATCCACTATATTCTAACTGTTGGACCCATAAAGGCTGTCAAATGACTTACCGTCTCGTTTTGAAATTCTAAGTAAAATAACTCAGAAGAAAGTTTAAAATAAATTATTGTCAGCCTAACTGTTACATAGTAAAACTTTTCATGGGGTTACCAAACTTGAGTACCGAAAATAAATCTCAAATGGAGTTTGAAATGGAGCGTGTAGAGAGAGGATACTTTAGAAAATAAAAGATTAGACTTTATTACGGGAGCATAATTTCACATTATTGCCTGAAATTTGTAGTGAACAAGCAGTGGATCATTGTACATCTGTCTGTTTGGCTACTAAGCTTTCACGACGGACGTGTTAGACATGCATGTTGATCGAAAATTAGGAAGACTAAAAATATCAACAGATTAAAAGAAGTGTTCCTAAGCTATTGCCAAATAGGTGTACGGATCCACCATATTCTGATCAAAAGAAGTGTAATGCTGGCATCAGAGCAAAGGCAAACCGGTGCAGCTGCAAAATGCGAGGTAGAAAGAAAAAAGACATCAAAACAACAAATCGAAAAATACGAGAAACTATAACAAGCTTAAAGAGATCTGACCAATGTCAATATGAAGATTTTGACAGAAACTTTGGAGAAGAGAGGCGTTTTTGTTCTGTTGATCCCTTATTCCTTGATACAACGTTACTGATATGATTTGAAGATTAAGGTGAAAAATCTCTATCTTAAACAACAGCACTTGATAAAATAGGAATTAAACATTTTGACTAAAATCTAAATAGTTGTCAAACCAGTGATTCTTCCCACGGCTCATTTCAGTATGCACAACCATTGGTGAAATACACTGGTGAAATAAATTAAGAGAATTTGAATATTTGATCTACGATCTCCAGAACTACTGGACAGATTTTAATAAAATTTGGTGTGAACATAGGTTGATATAATATACAAACAAAATAAACATTCAACAGTTATAATAGACTCACATGTTCATGTGTAACACTCACGGGAGTCTGAAGCTCTGAAACAGCGGTTGCAGAAGATACAAAAGAAATGGTTTAATAGGGGGTATGATCGACACCACCGAGACTTAAGAAGGCCGTATCACTGAAAAGTGACGTCACGGCAAGGAGACCCCGTACCTTCGAGTGCCGAGAGGAAAAATGATCATTGCTGTTGAGTAGAAAGATATAACTTTTTTTGCGTCAGATCTGAAAGCGGCGTTTTGGCTAGTGTTTATATATTTTGTGCTTTTAATAATGAATGTTATTTTTTCCTAGAGAATTGCAGAAAACCATATAGATAAAAGGAAACTATTATTAATTTTTGCATTCAGATGGATAATATCATATCTTGTTTAGTCATGTTTACGTCGACCCAAAATTAAAAATTGATATATTAATTTTCTAGATATTTTTAAAAAATTTTCCAAGAAAATTTCTATTCAGTATTTTAAAACTTTATATAATAATTATCTTCTAGCATCTAACTAAAAAGCAAAGTTAACAAAGTAATATTCAATAGCATACTACTGGCTAAAAATATATTTACAAAAATTACCATTAGTTTCGTTAATCCAAAAAAAACCAAGTTTTAGTTCCATGTAAAGAAAAGAATGCAAAACGTTTTGCGTCAAAAAAACAAATTTTTATTAGCATTTCAAAGATTATAAAATATTAAAAATTCACAAAGAAAAAAACATACTCCATGTAGCAGATAAATGACATAAACATGCTTTTCTTTAATACAATTTTAATGCAATTATTTATTTAGTATTACTGCAGTTTTAATTCCAAGAATAACTTTAAATGAGCAATTAATAGCATTATCCAATTTCTCAAAGCTCAAAAGATTATAGAACTTTAAAATCCACTGTAGCAAGTGAATTCCTTTCCACACAAATTTAAATGATAGCAGCAAAAATTATAATAACAATAAAATTAGCTTTATATGTATATTTGCAAATTATTTATGCCTGGAGTTTAAAAAAATCATCTAAATAAATCCGATTTTGCAATAAATGAAATAACAATTACATTACATATTAGCACATTAGATGCAGCAAAACATTAAGGTTTCTACATTTAGAAAAATATACACATAAGAAATAACAAGCATTGAAATAAAAGTAGTGCATTTCGTGCTTTATAAAATATATAAAGGAGTTTTGCTAAATCAAAAGCTTAATGTCGTATATAAAAAGAATAAACTGCTACTTTGACCTTTCTATAGAATTCATTTTCACACATCTATAATAAATTCGCATGGTATCATAAGTATTGTTGATCATCATACATAATGCAAATAGCATATTATTTATATTAGTAGAACTGAAATTAAACTAACTCTATAAATATTTCTTTGCAAATTGTTTATGCTTATTTTTCTAGAAAAACGCCTCCTAAAACTTAATTAGTAAAAAATGAAATAAATGTATACATTTGCATATTAATATTGCAAATATTATGGGTACACAAGTACTACCTCATACATCTTTATCTATCATTCTTAATCACACTAATCAAAACTAATAACACTACTTTCTCTTTTCAATTGTAACCAGAAATCGTTAAAATACAATTAAAATATATTTAAGTCATCTAAATGTTTAATTAAAGATTAGATTTCCATTAAATGAAAACATGAAGTTTGCATAATAATACAACAAAATAAATAATTCATTCAAATTGCCATAAAAATATATATGTATATGTTTCATTAATATTTAAAACATTTTATACAAGCATAAATAAAACTTACCAAACAGTTACATAAACTTAAGGCCTTATTTAAACTGAACACAAATTATCTATTTTACTAGAGTTTGAAGCTTTCGTTTCCTTAAAGTACTTCTCAGCACATCATTCTTTTGATTACAGTAGTTTTTAAGAAAAGTATTGCATGATGCTTTTATAACAAAATTTAGAATATTTTCTAAGGTGTGTCCGTTATTACATTGGTCATAGGTTATGCATTCACTGTCTATTAAAATTTGATACGTTAATGCCCATGCAAGAGATCGCTGATTGCATACCTTTAAAAAATTGTCTTCATGTTCTTCAGATACTAATTTTTTTACTACAATATAGGTATATGATACGACAGTTATTACATCTGGTTGTGGACATAGCAATCCGCCTCGGTCCATATTCAGTATGAAACGATATTCTTCATCCAATTCCAAAGTTTTGTCTAAAGTAAGGTTTTCCCGACAATACTCACATTTCACAGTCTTCAGAAATCTATATACGCAATATCCAGCGAGATATGTTATGAGTGGCATTACATTAATAGAATCCAGTTCATTTTGAGTTACTTGTAACGTACAGAAGGCACTAATAAAATTCTTGTCAGTATTAATGAGGTCTGTAAGAAATTTTATGTAGAAATATATTTTAATCGCCAAAGAGGGCGTAAATCTTTCTGATGTATATATACTTCTTGTTCTTGGATCTGGCATCCGCCATATGTGTGTTAGACTTGAATAAACTTGGCAGTTTAGAAACCTGATTTGTATGTTCATATCTTGATTTATGTGTGATTCGAATTAGTGTTTTTTGAACTAAGATATCATGCAATTCTTAACAGTTAATATAATATTTTATACATTTGGCGCCCAACAGTTGCGCACGAACAATTTTTTATTTAGAATGCGGTGTTTTTCGTGTTACTGAAAAATTATTCCTTTGCACTGAACGTGGCGGGATTAACGTTCGGAATACGTGTGAATGTGTTTCACCAGGAAAGTGAGTTACCAAATTTGGATTATACCATTTGAAGCCTGCACCAGGTAAGAGAATAAAACTTACTTTGGCAGACGATATTATTAAATTGAAATCTGTTAGAAAAGTCCTGAGGCAAGCTATTTCTAGAATAATAAATGTTGTAGAACCTGAAATTAAAAAAGACATTTGGGATAAGAATATGGTAGAAGAAAATGTGTTTTTACTTACTTCTAAACAGTCTGCGTTAAAGAAATTAATGAAACAATATTGGATGTTTAAAGGGGATGAGTCTGAATGAGAAAGAATGTAATACTGTGTTAGAGTATGATGAAAAAAAAAGTTTATTTATTTTTAGGGCTAAAAAAAACTTAATTTAAATTCTCAGATAGTGAGCATTGAAAGTGAATCGCCTGGTAACCATACTGCTGCCGTGAGGTCGAAGGAGAGCAGAGAGTTAAACTAGCTAGGTTTGGATTTGAAATTTCTTCTACTTCGCGCAATGAACATTCTAAAGATGTAAAAGTTAAGACCAAAAAACCAATCGCTAGCGCAGCAAGTCTAGTGGCTGTCAAAGAACAAAAATGTGTTTTTTGCGGAAAATCTCACGAAAGCAAAGAATGTTTTACAGTTCGATCGATCTTAAAGGAAAGATTAGACAAATTAAGAGAATTAAAATGCTGCCTCCGCTGTCTTAAACATGGGCATTTTGCGAAGAAGTGCTCACAGTTTATTCAGTGCTATTTGTGTAGGAGATCTCACCCTATAATTTTATGCCCGGTGGTATCAGAAAACAATGCTGACAATAAGGAAAAACGAAACGAGTCAGTAATGGTACAAAGTACAATGTCTTCTCCCTTATGTATGAAAGAAGTCACTCTTATGACGTTAATGGTTGAAATAGTTGTAGGCACTGTAAAGAAGGCGGTCAGGTGCCTCTTGGATTGTGGATCCCAACGATCTTACATTTTACAATCCACAGTTGAAGCTTAAATCTGAAAAGCACTTCCTCTGAGACTTACTCACGCGTTATTTGGCGGAAAAGGACTGAGTCAAAAATTCACAAGAGATTCTATAGGTCTAAGCCGGTTGGGAAAAACAAAGTGTACCAATTTAGTTTTCTGGATCAAAATACCATTTGTGGAGGGCATACCACGATTACCTAAAGGACCGTTATTGAAGGAATTAAAAAGACACAGAATTTGGATTTCAGATGTTGGTGAGGGTCACCCGGAAATAGAAATCCTCATAGGGAGTGATATTTATGGGCAAATACTTACTGGTGAAGTAATTCGGCTTGAGGGTGGTTTGACAGCCATAAATACTAAACTGGGATGGACGTTGTGCGGGGAATCGAAAGGAACGATTATCCAGTTTTGAGGATACCCCATCTATGTTAGTAACTAATCTTCTTATTCAAGACATGGAACCTTCCTTTATGTGGAAATTAAAAACTATCGGCATTGCAGATGATGCGCAAAGCATTTCCAGAAGTCGAAAACAAAACTAACATTCGATTACCTAAAATTTCAATTCCTAAATATTATGGTGATCCTAGTTTATTTTTGGAATTTTATAATTCCTTTGAAAATGCTATTGGTAATAATAATGAGTTAACAAAGGTCGAGAAGTTTACCTATCTTAAATCCTTACTCGCAGGACCTGCTTTAAGTGCAGTATCCGGGATTTGCACTATCTAATGAAAATTATGACGCTCCTGTTAAGCCTGTTTTCTTATAAGTTTAATTAAAGAAAAGATTTGGACGAACAGATTTGGTAATATCTTCGCACATGAATAAACTCTTGAATCTTGAACCGGTTAAAAGTTCGTCCAATGTGAAAGCACTAAGAACACTATACGATTCCTGTGAAATCAATATAAGAAGCTTAAATTCATTGGGTATTGTGTCGGAAGCTTACGGAACCCTTTTAGGACCCGTTATTTTAAAACTTTTACCAGACGATATGAATCTGGAGTTTAATAAAAAAGAAACTCTAAACAGCAATATAGCCTAACAGAACTTCTCGATTTCATTAGATTGGAAGTTGAGAGTCGGGAAGCTTCTAATTTAATAATAAACTGAAAGAAAAGAGACAAAAATTACGGTGTTAAGCAGAATAAAAATAATTACTTAAAAGGGGCAAGCGTTCCTACTGCTTCGGCGTTAGCTACAGTGACTAAGCCGTATTGTTTCTATTGTAATCAAAATACACATGATGTAGGAAAATGTGAGAAAACTAATGAGCAAAAAAGAACGATATTAAAATACAATGAACGTTGTTACAGATGTTTTAAGAGAGGTCATGTAGCTTCCAGATGTAAAGTGAAAACTTCAAGCCTTGTGAGTTGTGTAATGGTTTAAATTCATAATAAGCTATTTTGTAAAAATATTGTTCCTGAAGTGGTAGCAGTTTTCAGATGTTAAACAGAAAGTAGTTACAGTATATCAGATTCTAAGCAGAATGTAGTTGCATTCCTGTTCGTTTAACTCTAAGACTGTTTCTGAAACTGCTGATAAAGGTGTATATTTTTACAAACTTGCACTGTTTACGCTTCAGATACAGATAATACTAGAAGCCAAATAGTAAAAATCTTAATTGATGGTGGATCACAGAGGTCATTTATTAGATCTGATTTGGCTAAAGAACTAAAATTAAGGACTTTAAGGAAAGAAAAAGGTTATATATTTATTCATTTGGGTATAGCCAAGGTATTAGACTAATAGAATATAATGTTGTTCAAATTACCCTGAAAAGTATGCATTTCCCTAATGACTCAATCACTATTGAAGCTCTTGTTACAGATACAATTTCTGGAGCGGAGCGATCATAAAAATTCCCTCCAAAAACATTTTAGAAATATTAAAATAAAAAAAATCTAAAATTAGCCGATAATGGTGAAGTAGCTGAAATAAAAATATTGTTAGGATCTGATTCATGTTGGGAAGTGCAAACAGGCGAAAAGAAAAGAGTAACTAATAAATTATTTGCGGTTGTCTTCTATATTTGGTTGGTCCTTAGTTGGATCTTTAGAAGGTGATCAGTCTAGTGTCTGTATTTTTACAACTAGTGCTTCTCATTGCTTGAAGGAAGATAATAATTCAGTTAATGACTGTTTGCGAAGGTTTTGGACTTTGTGATTTAATTCAGTTAATGACTGTTTGCGAAGGTTTGGCACCATTTGGGATTAGAGGAGAACGAGAATCCTGACGATAAATCAGTCATTGAGAAATTTGAAAAAGAATTGCATTTTACTAATGGTAGGTATTAGCTCGTTTGTTATGGAAATCACATCATGCAAACTTGGGTAATAATTTAGAAAATTCCAAGCGACGTCTAATATCTTTGGTTAATAAACTAAAAAGTGATGAATGGCTTAGGGCGAATTATAATAGCATAATAAACGAACAGTT